CTCAAGGTCATTTCTACTGACAAGTAGAAATGGATGACTTCCTGTCTGCAAGGTTTCACACATTTATATATTCATTTGGTTATCATTCAGTCATTCATCAAACTTTCTTTCTTTTTTTTGCAGTTTTTGGCTGGGGACGGGTTTGAACCCATCACCTCCAGCATATGGGGCCAGCGCCCTCCTCCTTTGAGCCACAGGTGCTGCCCTCATCAAAGGTAATCTTAAGTACCTACACCATCCCAGGCTCTGTGCGAAGCACTAGGAATACAAAGATGAGATAAAACACAGTCCCTACTCCTGGGGGCTTGCATGTGATTGAAAATAGACTTTTAAGCTGACAACGTGGAGTGGCAAGTGCTAAACCATCACAGAGGTGTGTACAGGCGCATTGGGAAACCAAAGGGAATACTGGAACCAACCTGAGAGTCAGAGGAGGTTTCTGAGAAGGGGATAACGGATTGGAATAAGGTTTTGTAGCATGCCCAAGAGTTCACCAAGCTGCCAAGACAAAAACAAGTGTTGCAGAAAGGGAACAGTATGTGCAAAGCACGTCAGCTCAGTCTCACACCAGATTCCACAGATAGCCCTAGGTTCCAGGCCTAAATGCACAAAGTGTAAACCAAACCACAAGTCATTCATTGGCTTGAGTATGCTTTCTTCTGAGAACTTTAGCATTGGGTGCAAATATTCAATAAGGTTCTTGGAGTCCACAAGAGTTTAATGCAGGGCACAACCAGGAAGTAGGCTTTCTTCAGTGGAGAGAATGGCTCCACTATTTTGTTCTCTCCCTGTGGGGCACTGACAGATGAATGAGATCATTTGATCTGGATTTGTTATTTACTCCTTACCAAGGGAAGTTACTTCTTCTAAAAAAAACTGTTAAGCTATTTATCAAGTTCTTGTTGATTCAGGGCAAAATGTGTTCCTGAAACATCCTCTTTTGGGAGTTTAGCTGGAAGAATTTCAAGAACAGAATTCTCAGCAGAGCTCAGGATTATGGAAACTCAGAAGTTGGTTAAAAACATGGGGAGCCCAGTGAACAGGCTGCTGTCTAGGGCACAGCCCAGGACACTTCTGTGGCTATAGGTCTGGAAATGAATCCATTACACATCAGTGCCATGGAGTTTAGTAAATGACTAGCAAGTCTTGTCACTTTTGCAGAAAACAAAGTCCAACAATAGCAAGTCTTGGCACATCCTCAAGTGGTTGGTCAAGGACTTTTTCTTTTTTTTTAATTTTTACTGATGCTCAGTAGCCATGCAAAATTGTGCACAGCATTAACATGTCTATGTATCTATAACTATATCTCTATATATCAGCTCATGATAGAGAATCATAGCTAGGGAGCATTACAAAGTGATCTTGTTTATAGTATTCTGTTGATAGTGCCAATATATGATAAGGAAAATGAACATGGCACAATCTAACTGACCATATACACAATTCCATGAATTAAATCTGTTTCCTGTGTTAATCAGTACTCTTAAAGAAACTTTATAATGGAAAACCAAACAAAACCAAACAAAAAACCAGTCAGTTGGGAGGTGCCTCTGGCTCAGTGATTAGGGCTCTGGCCCCATATACGGAGGGTGGAGGGTTTGTACCCAGCCCTGACCAAATTGCAACCAAAAAAATAGCTAGGTGTTCTGGCAAGTGCCTGTAGTTACTACTGGGGAGGCTGAGGAAAGAAAATCACCTAAGCCCAAGAGCTGGAGGTTGCTGTGAGCTGTGACACCAGGGCACTCTACTGAGGGTGACAGAGTGAGACTCTGTCTCGAAAAAAAAAGAAAAGAAAAAGTACTGCTGGGACTGTGTACCGGGAGCAGGTGTGAAGGACCCTGGTTGATAGGAAATTTGCTGTTGCCTAAGTCACACTGCCTGCCCTTGTAGCAGAGCCCTACTCGCTTTCTGCCCCCTCAGACAAGCTTTGGGGAGAGGACCATCGTAAAGAGCAATATGGGATGTTGGTGAGGAGCAGGAAGGGGTAATCACCCAATTCTTTCTTTTCTGTATTTTATTTTCTATTTATTTCTTATTGCGATAAAATGCACATGAATATCAGCTTAGCTAATTTTATGTGTATAGTTCACAATGTTGTGCAATCTTCACTAGCCTCAATATCCATGATTCTTTTTATTTTTTTATTATTTTTTTTTAGAGACAGAGTCTCACTTTGTAGGCCTCAGTAGAGTGCGGTGACATCACAGCTCACAGCAACCTCCAGCTCTTGGGCTTAGGCAATTCTCTTGCCTCAGCCTCCCTGAGTAGCTGGGACTACAGGGGCTCGCCACAATACCTG